AAGCCAAGACTTACCAAGTGTTTCAGAAAAGCTGCAGGTGCAGGCAATAAATCATGGCACACAGTTGTGACTGTCCCTAACACAAGCCATGCTGAAGAGCTGACCAGGCTGGATGGCCTGGCTGGAGGACCAGCTTCCTGAGCAAATGCTGAGATCTGCCTCATAGCCTAAAGGCATCAGATAAGGCTGAACATAAGCACAATTTACCTCCTGATTCCTAAGCACAGCTGACTTCCACAAAGATGAAGTAATACTTCTGTGTGGATGACAAGCCTGCCTCGAGTGGAAGTGGTTCACTAATTAAAATAGCTGATTGTCCAAGGTTAGGAAGTCAAAAAAAAGCAAGTGTTATATTATCAGAAATCTACTAAGTGTTGTGAATGGAGACAAGGGATGTACAGCCAACACGTCTTCAAATCTCTTGCTGAATCTCCATTAATCCCCTGCATCCCAGATATCAGAGCAGTTACGTTGGCCTGGGGATCTGCTTCCAGTTGGTCAATACCAACAGGAAAATCTTTAAACCTCCTTTTGATCCAGAGATAAGTCGTGCAGGCTCACAACTCACAGACCAGCCCTTGGTTCTCTCAAGACCACCTGCTGCAAACTGGAGGCACCATGTGCAGAGCCAGTAAGACTGTGCATTGCGGGAAGCGTTCTGACTTCTGGAAGCACCACTGCCTCCCAGCTCCCATTGCTTATTAATGAATAATTACTTGTGGCTGAAATGATGCCAATTTGTATCATACTTTATTATATATCTTGCAGTCAGGCAAATGATCATGTTGGTCCTCAGCAGCTTTAGCCTGTGAGGTGTGGAGCGTAAGCCACGCTGATTTCCATAGGGTGAAGGATCTGGGAGAGCGGCTTCTCATCCAGGCATAATTACATGAACTGGTTAAGTGTGACTTTGCCAAGCTCTCTCCTCAGACACATGACTGCAAGGCTTACCACATCCTATCTCCAGGCTGGTAGGTTTTGCAGCACACATTAAATTTCTCACAAGGAAAAGTCAAAGGAAAGAGTGGCTTTGTGTACTGCATTTCTTCCTCCTCTGCTGCTAACAGGCAAGGTTTGCAGAATTCATTTTTTGTGTTAGGCTGTACTTCTTCTCTGTAGATTTACTGCTTGTTCCAGAAACATTCAGGTTAAGAAGAGGAGAAGGTCTCAGACATGGGAGGTGAGGAATAGTCGCCCCCTACCCAGTTGCATGTCAAGGTATTCCCTGATCACCACTGCTCTTGTATAGCAGTGCAGGTGTGCCTGTATGTGCCCCATTTTCCTGAAGGGGTTCTCCCAAGCCATTGCCCTCCTGAGCTCCTCAGAGCTGAGAACAGGTGAAGGTTTTTTAGCAGAAAAGCACTGTTTCAACAAAAGACAACCCCACACTGTAATTACATAAAGGTACTTTTTATAACAATCTAAATTCTGGTTTTGCTGCTACTTTGAAAGCCTACTCTTATTACAATGGGATATTATGCAAGATTGACACAGTTTATATTTTATATACATATGCAAACCCACATTATTCTCTATCGCAGTCCAGAATTGCAACCCAGATATGTTCTTGCAATGACCAAAGTAAAAAAATGTAATGATCCCCAAAGGCCATAAGGAGATCCAAGAGGCCTGTGGGCATTCGGGAATTTATGTGCTTAAAGCACATCAATCTTTTGCACACCCAGATGAGAACAGTATGAACCAATTCTTTCCTGACTTATATTCGATATTGATGGAGGTGACTTAAGGCCGTGCAAGGTGCAGTTCAGGGAACAATTTAAACCTCTGGCTACTACTCTGTTTAATCCTTTTAAATCTGCTCTGCCACCACCATCAAAAATAGTCTGATCTCATGCCAACAGGGTCCCAAGAACAGGGATGGAAGATGAGGATCTGTTGTGGAAACACTGTCACAAACCAAGGACTCTGAACAACCAGACATTAAACAGAACTGGATAAAATGCACTATTCATCCTTCCTCTGAGACCCCCCCCCAAAGTATATATGAAATAACCCCAGACAAGGGGTTACAACTGGTATTTAGGAGGCAGAAAGAACAATTAAAGAAATAAGTATATTTTCTTCCTCTTTCACCTGTCTCATAGTTCTGATAAATTTAAAGCCTAAGTATGACCCAGTGCTACACAGGCCCATGTTCTCTGTAATATATTGTTGAAAAGCAGAGTAACTTAATAAACTGCAGAGCCCACTACTGTTCTTGCTGTAGCTAAACTGCTTTTGATACATGAGCCAGTCTCATACATTGTAATAGCATTGATTTACCCTATAAATGTTTCCAGTGAAATACATCAGAATTCAGGTATGTTTTCCCTTCCAACCATAGGGGCCTCTCTGTTCTTCAGAGCCTGTCTTCTAGGAGGTATTCTGGAATAAAAGATGCTGCACTGCCACTTGTGACTGGTCTTGAAGAAGACACACCCCACTACAGACTGAACATCGCCCTTTGCAAAGGTCTTTTCAGCTCTTCCAGAGACAAAAACTGAGCAGCTTTGACAGAGTAGCTCCACTAAAAGTGCTTATTCGATCAGCCTGGTTTCACGCTCAAAGTGCTTTTCGTCTCACTGCCCCAACCATCTGCTCTCTCGTGACAGCAGCTCTGCCACCCTGTGGGGATCTGCCTTCGCTGCTGGTCAGCAGTAGCTTCTCTCCAGAGAGAAAGAAGAGCCAGCCCCTTTGGGGAGGCCTGTCAGGGTCGCACAGGTCAGCAAGAGGGCAGGACCGCTCATTTGCTTTAAACCCCGGGACTAGGCAGACTTCCAGCTCTCACACGCAGCTGCTGGTGTGAAACTATCAAGTGCTTCCCCTACCCAATGCCTCGGTTTCTAGTGCACTGAAATACAGTTAGAGAAGCTTGTTTTCCCTGTAGGGCACACATACAAAGTATGGTGCCTCAATAAAATACCATTCTTTTAAAATAGAAAAGACCTTCATCTGCTAAGATACCACAAGGGTCACTGGCTTTTCAGTGTTTAAAACCTCTCTTCTTGTTTTGGAGAGAGTTTTGGGTAGCTGCAGAAAAAACCATGCATTTACAATATCAGAGCTAAGCAAAGCACATATGAAATACATGCAAGTGAAGAAAATGCGAAATCAGATTGCATTCAATCAGGAGCAAGCTCAGAAATCAGACACAGACAAGGTGTCAAAATGTCCTGACATAACTGGATAAATAGCTTGGTCAATCCTGGCATCTATTTACATACATCATAAAATTTTGGGCATCTGAGGCACTACTTGTATTTCCAGAATCATAAATAAGCCCAACCTTGTTTTGTGGGGGATCTGACTTCCTATTCTAGCTTACCCCAAGAGGAAGCATAACACAGGCTGTGGACTGCATATGACTAAAGGCATTATAAATCTATAGGCAACTACAAACTCTCTGCTACCAGTGGAAAATGAACACAGTGTTAAGCAGACCCTAGTTCAGCCATAATGGACATGTAACTTAGAATATTTCTCTGGATTTAACACCATGCCCTAAATTGTATCCCTGCCTACTTTTCATCACTCTTTGCTGGATTTTGCATATCCATTTCCATTTTGAAATTCACATCTTTTGTATAAAGTTAGAAAAAACCCAATAACTTCAATGTCATCTGGTCTTAAAAAGTTGTGGTTTTAAATCCTTGTGGTTTTAACTTTTCAAATGACCAGCTCTGTCAGTTTTCCTTCACATCCCTCTATCAGCAGGGTGACAATGCTTTGAGCACTTCTGAGACAGCTGCTAAAAACACAGACTGTATAGTGAGAAAGTCAAGCCCATGCTACACCAAGAACTACAAGTAAAGGGCATAAATCAGCAATTAAAGAGTTACTAAGTACAAACATCCACCTACTGTTATTACAGTATGTCTGCTCTTCCAATCTTTAGAAAGAACTATGTACTGAATTAATACCCAATAAATAACCTTGCAAAATTTGGCAAGGGAAAATAACCGATTTAAAATATTTTTGTGTGTGCGTGTGTGTGTGTTAGCCCTCAAAATTAGCAAGCTGGACAAAAGGCAATGGTATCTCCCACTTTAACCTCATCTGGAGGCAAAGTGGATAGATAATACTGAAGCCAAAACAAACATCACACTGATTTTGTTCCAGTGGTCTCATGGGACCATAAAATCTAATGACATTAAGCTTCCTGTTACTTAGCACTAGATGATGAAAAAAATCGTTCCTCGAGAGAATCTCTCCCAGTTTTAAGACTAGGCACAAGCTATAGGAAGTGTGCTCCAGGCAGTAAAACCAGGGGATATATTTCTTTCTGTCTTTCTCAGTTGTTTTACCCTTTGAACTGTCCTGAACAATTCCTTTCTGCGTGCTGACTACTCGAAAAGTTGTCGCCGTGCCACCCGGCAGAGCCTGTGCCGTACATGTCCGGCAAAACCCGTAAATCAAGCGCAGGGGCAGCACAAAGCTCCGCTCCTCCCTCGCTTCTCCTGCACCTGCTGCTTTCAAGTGGCACTGCGAGGGATGGAGGCAGCCCGCGCCGTACCAGGGGCTCTACAAACACAGAACAAAGGGGCTTCGCCCCCAAAGAGATTGCAACTGAAATCTAAGGCATAAAGGAACAGCTGAATCCACAGAGGCAGGGGAGTCTGGTTTTGTTCTCCCCGCGCTTTAACACAGGCAAGAAACAGGCAGGGCTGAACTTTTGCAGGAACAAAAAAATGGCCATAATTTTACACTCTTGTTTTAAAAACTAGGCTGTTTTGTTTCCAGGGCAGACCTTTGTCGCAGTGCTGAAAAGAACTCTAATTCTCCCACCTGTTGTTTTTCCTCATTGCTCACTCGAACTCTCCCATACATACATCCTGTTTGCACACGGAAACTGCTGGGAACATGGCTGGTGATTTAATTTTGCTTGCGGCTGTCTCTCTTCTTTCCGCCTTCCAGCAATGTAAGAAAGAGCTGTGAGTTGTATGGCTGGGGTTTGGGGAGTTTTCCACTGGTTTTTAAGTCCTGGAATTGATTTTGTGATAAATTGGTTGCTCTCTGACTTAGAACTCGTAAGATTTTTTCACAGGAGCATTGTTTACCCTCTCTGTAGTCTGAGAGGCAGTTGGCTTAGTGGGACAGATTACTTTTCCCTCGGGGAGAAACTATTTTGTTTTGAATTCTCTTTTGTTTGTTGATTTTTTGGAATCATACTATTATCAGAGCTTGTAACTGGCTGTAAAGTTACCTCAAAGCCACATTGTGTCTTGGTTTTGATTCTTATTTAAGCACCTATACAACTGAAAACCTAGTAAGTGAGAGTAAATTTGTAAAATCAAATACAACAGTGCTGGACTGAAAGCACTGCAAAAGAATGTTTCCAGAAATAGGGATATATGCCTAGTATCTGAAATGAAATAAGAAAGCAAACCTTTACACCAGGCAACAAAAACACGAGCTATTCCATATTATGTTCTCATCACTCCATTTCTTTAAGATCTAAATGGACTTATGTTATGCCCTGCAGATATGCCTCTGAGAATCAAGGAATAGGCTGCCCGGGGAAGTAGTAGAATCACCATTCCTGGAAGTGTTAAAAGGGCATGTGGATGTGGCTCTTGGGGATGTGGCTTAGTGGTGAACATGGCCGTGCTGTGTTAACAGTTGGACTGGATGAACTTAGAGATCTTTTCCTACCTTAATGATTCTCTTTTATGACTAGAAGTGGGCGAGCCTGAGATGTTGGTTTTGCTGTGTATCAACCTAAAACTGCAGTATGATTTTTAATGTTTGTCATTATTTTCTTTGAAACATGTTGATGCATATAGTTGTGTTTATACCAGGGAAAAGATACGTTTTGAAGACATTTGTGCTATGAGATTTAAAGCAAATTAAAAATAATTACCCTGCCTTTTTTCCAAATATCTATAGCACTGCCAACTTACCTAAGCAACCTATCAATGTGGCTTGATTGTTTGTTTGTTCTCAAAGCCTCAGCTACTGAAACAACATCTGTACCCAGCAGGAAGAAAAAGCTTGAGAATCTGACCCTTCCAGTTTAAAAAAACCTCAACACAACAGAAGGCAAATGTAAAGCACTGAAAATTTACATTCTCTTCCTCTGTCATCAGATCAACTACAATATACCCTGGGATCTCTTTCTATCTGTATAACCCTGTGTCTACCTGGTGGCAATATTTGTCATCAACTTTCAGGAAAGTTCAGCTTGCCTGCCTTTATTTTTAACATAAAAATGTGAAGGATTAAAACCAACAAAACAAAAAACCAGACATTATTTGGAAAAAAATTGCAGCTCGAAAACTCAAGGAGTTTGTACAGATACTGAGAATTTGAAAGGAACTGGAAAATACCTATATTCTTCCTTATGATGGATAACCCATATTAGTTAATCTTAGTTAAAATCACAGAAAAGATGATATAACCTGGGGTTTAATTTACATTGGCAGTCTGACATCAAGCCCAAAGAGAAACCTGTGCAAGACTCTGATCAGCTGACCTGATTTAAACTATCACAGCTTGGTGTACTCTCAGCATGCTTTCTAGCATGGGTAATACAACACAAATTAATTTATGGAAGTTCAAATTAATGTTGTGAAACCAGGGCTGCAAGCATGTGTTATAACCAGTTCATGCAAGGGGAGCAGCCCAGCATGTGACTGCTTGCTGTGAACTACATGTGACATACACAGCACTCAGTGCACTGTTTGCTCTTCTGTCTATTCTGCTGAACCTCCAGTCCTGAGTTAGGAGAGTGCTACTGGGCAATACCACCTCCCTGAAGCAGTGGTGGGAGTCGGGTTTCACATAGCAGCCATCAGAGGTACAAGATTTTGTGTCTCAGAACCACGAGTTATTCAAAGAATCAGGTCAGTCGAAGATTAAGTGGTGCGAGAAATGCCCCAGGGTAGAAAGAAGGAGCAGAAACAACGCAGGAAGTGGTTTCCAGTCACGAATCCAGTTTTAAGCAGTTGAGATTTGCTTGAGATATTAGTGTTTTGTAGACTGATGGGAATACAAGGGCATTCGATGAAAGGGCAGAACGAATCTCAGTCATTGATACAGAAAAGAGTCAGGGACACAGGAGTCTCACTACTCCTCTATTTTGAATCATTTCTCTGAACTAGCAACTTTTAAAATAATTTTTAGTATTTCCAGGGCCTGGCAAGACATTATTAAAAAGTATTTGATTTGTTTTTTTACGGACTGCGAGGCCAGGCCATGCAAATTAATATGAACTATCATACACTGTGATACAAGTAGCAGCTTCTCTGTAGGCTTTTTACACATATAAAATGTTTGAGAGTAATATTCCTTGAAAGCCTGCTTTGTCCCATGTTTTCAGAGTAAAACTATTAACTCAGTAACCATAAATGCCACCTGAAGATAAAAGCAAAAAAAAAAAGGCTAACAAAAGCAAGTCAAGCATACTTTGTAACTACCTCAGTCATGTAATTTCGCCTGTTAGAACTGAACAACTTGATACGGGGGAAAAAAAGGCTATGAAAATCTTTATGTACTCCTGCTGCACTGCTTTCAGGAGTCCTCATGACAGCACCTCCAGTGAGAGGGGCAGAAGAGCTCACCATTGCTTTGTTATTTACTCCAGCCCTTGTTAAACCATCATCACAAAATGTAAATTTGGAGTTACATGAAAAGCTTCCATTGACCAGGGGGGAACTAAAAGGCAAGTCCTATGCAGTTAACAAAACCCACAGTAATTATTTCTCTCCTGAGATCTTTTTGCCTCCCTGGTTGGCATCTGTCTAGTTCTGCACACCGGGCTCACCTTTTCTTGTAAGATGACAGACATGACTTTTGTTCTCCTGTTACGCAGTGCCATGGCTTGGCTTTCACTGGTGTCCATTTGAAGCCAAGTCCCCATCAATCACAGCAGAAGCCACTAAATAAGTGCCTTTTATGATGGGTGGCTGTACTAGCACACTAGCACAACCTACCTCTGCTTGCATTCAACCAGTCTCCCATGTCCCAGTCTCTGGCCCTCAAACCTTGTTGATTTGCCCAAGGGCAAATCAAATTACAGCTGAGGCCAGGGTTGTAGCACAGCCTTGATGATTTGCTTTGGTTAATTGTACTGAACAAACAAGGATGATTTGGCCTCTACAGTGCCTTAATCTTCTTATTTTCCCCAGTAAGTTTATTTTGTCCAGCATCCACTCAAGGCTTTTTTTATAAAAACTGATTTGGATGTCATGAGCTACCTTGGCTTGCCTTAGTTCCTCAGTAGAAAAAACCTAGTCCCAGACTGACTGTATGCCTAGAATGGCTCATTGCAGCCAGAAAATAAGGAGCATATTGCTGGTTAAAAATGCCATTGCACAAAACACTACAGCTCACCTACCCCTTTGACAGATAAGCCAGGCAGGATTTCCCAGCATGTAGCATTTGTCATAAAACCAGATCATTTTGAGGGCAACAAAAGTTAAAAAGCAACTTTTCAGTTGTTTTCAGGGAAAACATTTCTCAGAGGTAATTCTTATTCTTCTGTATGTTTCAATCTCCATGAAGAATGTTCCCTAAACCCTCTCCAGTGCTATTCTTCCCTTCTGAAAGGACTGCAAGGCGGCAAATAAGAAATGAAACATCAGGCATGACCACCAGGCTCTGTGGGGGCAGAGAGGGTCCTGCTGGATGCAAATACAATGAAAGGTCCTGTAAACGTGCCTTGTAGAGAGACAGCTGAGCTGCTCTGACTAGTTTCTGGAGAGAAAGGTTGAGAGGTCACTTGAGCATAGCCTGTAATTACTTATATGGGGAGAAGACAGATGGCAAAACGTTTTTTTGGGCTGAGGGCTTTGGCCACAAGGCTAAGACATAAAAGATGCATAGGATAGCACCACTAATACCTCTAACTGTATTTTAGTGCCACTGCTCCCAGAAGGGAGGATGGAAGGTATGTTCTAGGCTCTCACCATAGACAAGCCTTTTTAGTGGACTCAGGTGGGTGCCTGGTTTCTGGATCCAGATAGTTTAGGTACAAGGTAGGCAGTCAGCTTCTCAAGGTGGCTATGACACGGCCAGGAAAAATAACTTGGAGATGATAATAATAATAACAATAATAATAATGATAATAATAATAATAATAATAATAATGATAACTCCAGGTACCCAAAGAGTTTTAAAGGCAAAGAGGGTGTTGCTCAGTAGCTCTGCTGCATTCAGCAAAATGCTCTCCTTTTATCCCTACAACAGCCTCTGTTCAACTTTCGGGGGGAGACTTCTGCAATGAGAACATAAATAAAATGAAATGTATATAGATGTGGGATGGGATCCTAGAATAATGGTCAGAAGTGCAGAGATAGTGTTTGATTGCTTTGGGGTTTTTGGTAAGTAAATTATATTTAGTCACTGTACAGTAAGTAATCTCTCTTTTTCATGGCATGGCATCAGTTCTCAAAAATGCTTTTTACAAGACAGGTAAGTACTACCAGCTCGAGTCAGTGGAGGAGAAACAGCATAAGTTCCTTCAACAAGAAGCTCTCAGAGCTCTCCAGCAGATCAAGTGGAGAGCAGGGAACAGGCTACAGCCTGACCAGTTGCAACTCTCTCTGCTCTTTCCAATAGACTGAATTTTTGAGAGTCCAAGACAGATGGAAAAGCATGTGCTCTAACATATGGATAAATAACTTTAAAACGGTAGCTACCAGATTTTTGTTTCCAAAGACTGTAAGACTGCCCTGTCCTTCAGAGCTCCATAGCTGTTAGTGTCACTAAAACAAAATGACCATATGTCATTCAGACTAGTGGGGAAGTGACCTCCATCAGTGCAGTTTGGTTTGAGATGCTGCTAAGGCAAGACCCTGCTGCTGAAGTGTGACTAGACTGCTCCTGGGCTGTGTAGTTCTAGGATTCAGGTGAGGTGGAAGGATATTTAAGTCATAGCAAATGCAAATGCAAAAAGAAAACGAATGTATTTCTGAAATAACAATTTTCCCCCTTCTCATGGATGTCACTCAAAGATAAGATAGAAATTTTTGTAAGGAAAAACTGGTTTATCTAATATTGGTCTCTTTGTGC